ATAAGAGGACCAAAAGGTTAACACATATTTTGCCCGTAATTTGAAATCAGGAATCTCATCAAAAGAAATTCTCTCTATTGCGGTATTTGCTAGCTTGTGAAGCATCAAATAAAATGACCTTACCAAGTATATTAAGTTAATATTTGGTAAGTATATAATTTGTTCACCATTGGCCAATGAAGTTAAGATATTATCGGGCATACACTCAAGTGCTTCAGCGAAATAACCAGTTTCATTTTTTATTGCGTTATATCCCAATCAATAATAACAATTTTCTCGTTATAATCACAAATAAAGTTATATTTCCAAAGATCCATATGCACGATATTTTGTAAATGTATTATCCTCAAGGTTTCAATGATATTTCTGACATCTTTTTTTTGCAAAATTTTGACTTTTGTATCTAGGGGAGTTGTGACAAGAGAGTTTTTACCTTACAGGAGGAATTTTAAAATAAAGGCAAATTAAAATTTTCTAAAACATTTTTTTTCTCTTTCAAAACAAGACAAATATTTTTTCTCTTTTGTTATTTTTACAACTACAGGATCCTTGTCATTAAGTTTTCCTTTATACACATTTACTAGTTCTGCCTGTATTGATGGATCAAACAATCTTTATAATATTCAAGTTGAATTTCAACGATGAATCAACCCATCCAAGTTTTTCTAGATTGCATTCCATAATCATTACTAGATACTTCCACCCAGATGGTGGGTGAGTAGTGTTCCTAATGAGTCAAGTCAAGTCGAGTTTCAAGTCAAAATTATCCTACATACCTTTAATTTAAAGTACTTATTTATTATGTATAACTAAAATTTACAATTATGTATAATTATGCAAGTCAAATATGTGAGTTTATGTAAGTCATTTTCAGAACTCTATGGGTGAGTACTAGATTCATAGTTTAAATTTGTAGGTAATATGTATTCATACGAGAATCAGATATTGTCACTATTATTAGAATTGCTTCTAATTATTTTATAAATGCAAATAAGTTTGTAATCTGTTAAAACCACATGTATATAAACTCACCAAGGCTGGAGTTGAAAGATCTTTTCACTAAATAATATGGCGTGTCCTATATCTACATTAGTGAAATGATTGCCAGATCATTTTCTTATTTCTCCAATGGCTACAACACATAATGCATCTAGAGGATTATCTTTAGCAATGAATGTAAAGTCCAGTTTTCGAGTAGTCAGTAAAGAAAAAGAATGTACGTCTTCAATCACAAGTTTTGGATCTTTAGATATTTGTAATAGTTTGCATTCATTAATAAAATATTCTTGCAATTTTTTTTCTGATACGTTAGGTCTTTAAACTTTTTGTATACTTTTCTTTAGGTAGTCACAATTAATTTTAGTGGGAATTTAATTTCGATACCTTGTGATCCTATAAAGATTCCCTTGTCAATTTCTGTATTAGTACCTAGTAAAGATGTTAAATGGTATTTGTAGAAAATGATAATGGATTGTGGATGTACTGGAAAAAAATGACATACCTGGAGCACTATATTACATTACTTCACTATGAAGTCATACTTTCTTTATTTGACTCACTCCATCTATTTTATAGTCAAGCTTTTCTGCGATTTTATTGAAATGCCTTTTAAGATCTTCTATTCCTGTGAACAAGACATAGAAATTAGGATATTATTAAATCCAATTAAATCCAATTAAAATACTCTATTTGAAAAAGTTACCTTCTTTTATTTCACCTATATGAGAATAAAAAAAATTGTAATATTTAGATAGAAATCAAGCAAGGTCACATTCACTCATGCTGTCTAAATTTATTATGATTCACTTACCAGTAACAGTTTGCACTATAATAACGTGAATGTATTTTTTGAGTAAGTTTGACGATAAGAAGCAGGAAAGAAAAACACAAGAATATGTAAGTATTCAGCGAATATGAAAACGTGTGCAAAAAAATATACTGTATCATGTAATTCATCTTGTTCACCTTTGATTTCCTTTATCAGTTCAGCGATCACAATAGTTGGTTCCAGTTATAGTCTATAAGTTTCAAGTTCTTCTTTTGTTAAACTGAGAAAAGCTTTATCACTAATTTTTTTACTTCTAATTATCTTAATATCCTAATCATCAAGTTCCAAGTTTAAGTCCTCTCTTTGTAAGAAAGTTATAACATTATCCTTTTTCTATTTTTTTTTTTATGATATCGACTGATGGAAGAATAGCCATTTCTGACATAGGTTCATTTTCTCTATGTTTCATAGTTCTACAGTTTTACAAAATAAGAAAGAAAAACTTTATTACGTTTAATTAGTAATTCAATCATTAGAATTTTTGAGGTATTATTTAATAAACCAATAAAAATGTATCGTAAAAAATTCTTAAAATATTTAATAAATATTAAAAGCATACCTTGATGGTAATTGTTTAACTAAATGAAATACTTCACAACCAGTTCTATTAATATTCGGGATTAGGTCAATATTAGATTTCTTAACACGAGACATAAACATAAATGTATATGTGTAACCTGATTCATTTAATAACAAAATTGTATATCCTTTGGAAGTGAGTTTATTTTTGATACAAAAAGTATGTGCACTTCGTTTTGAGAATTGTGTAATCATTTCATCGATAGAGACATCTGATGCTGGTAGATAAAGTTGCTTTGAAATATCTTTAATATGTGACGCAAGTAGATCAACTTTTGAAAACCAATCAGGAAGTGGCTTTGTACAATCTGAAATATATTGTCACTAGGTTTGTTTTTGTTTATCTTAACGTCTAAGTTGAAAGGCTATGGCAGCTGATTCTACACGTTAGAGTTTCTAACTTTAAGATTTTCTTTAAGTCCTACAGGTATCTGTTATACTTGAATCAACTCAGCAATTTATTACATCTTAGAATTTAAGATATATTTAATCGAACTCGTAATAATGAACTCAATAGCAAGTTAGTATAGTGTATCACAACAATCTTAGGTGAAGGACAACATTGAAGGGAAAAATAGTTTGTATGGATTTAAATTGATTCCTTTATTTATAACTTGAAACTCGCAGAAGAGTTTTTAAACTTACAACTGAGTTTATAAACTTACAACTGAGTTAATAAACTTGCAAAGAAGTTAATTTACAACTTAAGCAAAAAGCTATTCTATTTATACAAAATGACTTTGCTACGGCTAGCTACTTACTACGCTATAAATTAACTAAATATAGATATATGTCTCAATAAAAATATACTTAAATATAATAAAATAATA